AAGGAAGGAAGGAAGGAAGGAAGGAAGGAAGGAAGGAAGGAAGGAAGGACACCCCTGGTTTAAATCATGCAAAGAAAGAGACACCAGCGCTGGGGTGGGGAGGGCACAATCCCACTTCCTGGGGCCCTTTCCTTCAGAACTGCCTCTGACTTCTCCTGGCACAGTTTGGCACGTGCTGAAAACTCTCACGCAACGCACACCCAGGCCCTTTCTCACCTCCTTCAGAGTCACACGGATTTGCCCGCTGCCATCTCGATCCAACGACTTGAAGGCCCCTAAAAGGAGAAAGGCGGGGGTTGGGAAATTTGCCAGCTAGGCTGGAAGGGGGAGGGGGAGTCAAGAGCGGGCTTAGTCTCGAGTCCTTGCGTGGCCGCAAGAGGCCTGAACAGGACCACTCCCAGAAGATCCATCTGGTCGTTCCCAGGGCAAGGAGAGGAGTCCTTGTCATAGAGGCAGAGAACAACAAAGTTGCTGGCATGCGCTATTTATGCGTGGCTCTGGCTGCTTGCGCCCAGCACACCCAGGGAGGAATCAGGCAGAGCAGCCGAAGAGAGGCACATCCTCTTCCCCGCCTTCAGCGGTGTGGCACGCTAACTTCCATAATCCCCTGCCCACCACCAAAGCCCACCCTGGTTGGAGATTCAGGCTGCTGAAAGCAGAGCAGAACTAAGATACTGGCCAGAATAACAGCGTTGGATTTTCTTTTTAACACCTTGAGCCCCAAAACTTGAGAATAGAATAGAGCTGGAAGGGACTTTGGAGGTCTTCTAGTCCAACCCCTTGCTCAAGCAGGAAAACCTAAACCATCTCAGATAAGTGGCTGTCTAGTCTCTTCTTAAAAGCCTCCAGTGATGGGAGAGACCCACAACTTCTGGTGGCAAGTGGTTCCGCTGGTTAATTGTTCTCGCTGTCAGGAAATTCTCTCCTTGGCGAATTTCCACCCATTGCTTCTTGTCCTGCCTTTGGGGGTCTTTGGAGAATAAGTTGACCCCCGTTTTCTTTGGGGCAGCCCCCCAAATACTGGGATACTGCTATCATGCCACCCTCAAGTCCTTCGGGTCGGGTTACAGCACAGAGTTTAGGAGCTAACCGTGTCAAGGCTTTGACTCACGAGGTTGGATTCCTAAAACTTAGAACACGGAATAACAGAGTTGGAAGGGACCCTGGAGGTCATCTAATCCAGCCCCGTGCTCAAGGAGGAGACCCTACATCATTTCAGACAAAACGGTCATCCAATCTCTTCTTAAAAACCTCCAAGGATGGAGCACCAATGATTCAGCACGGGGTTGGATTAGATGACCTCCAAGGTCCCTTCCAACTTCTGAAGACAAGCCATGCCACTGGTTAATTATTCTCACAATTAAAGAAATTCCTCCTTAGTTCCTGGTTGCTTCTCTCCTTGATGAGTTTTCCATTGTTTCTTGTCCTGACTTCGGGGGTCTTTGGAGAATAGCTTGACCCCCACCCACCCCTCTTCTTTGGGGCAGCCCCTCCAATATTGGAACACGGTTGTTCTAACTGGCCCCCCCTGGCTGGGGAAGTCTTGGGTGAGGCTGGCCAGCCGTGGGGCAGGATGCCGAGACCCCAGTTGGGGGAGAAGCTGCCCTGGTGGCATCTGAGCTAGGGTCCCCTTTGGCCCCATGGAGGAAGAGAAGAAGGGACGCAGCCAGGGCACCAATGGGCACCGCTGCCCCAGTCACTTACGGAACATGGCATCCAGGCGCACCAGGCAGCTGATGAAGTTGTCGAAATCCATGTTCCCATTCTCGTCTGAGTACCTGCGCACAATCATGGCGTAGAGCTGTTGGTTGAGATGAAAGCCTGGAGAACAATGGGGGTAGGTGGAGAGAAGGAAGCATAAGAAGCTGGGATTTATTTATAGATAACCCTTGACTTGGAACAGATTAACAGAGTTGGAAGGGACCTCGGAGGACATCTAGTCCAACCCCCTGCCCAAGCGGGAGACCTCACACCATTTCTGACAGATGGCAGTCCAACCTCTTCTTGAAAGCCTCCAGGGATGACTTATGACCACAATCTATTCTATTCTATATTCTATTCTATTATTATTCTATTCTATGCTGTATTCTATTCTATACTCTATATTCCATTCCATTCCATTCCATATTTTCTATTCCATTTTATTCTATATTCTATTCTATACACTATACTCTCCAAACTTGGCAACTTTAAGACTTGTAGACTTCAACTCTCAGAACTCCTCAGCCAGCAGGTGCTGAATTCTGGGAGTTGAATTCCACAAGTCTTAAAGTTGCCAAGTTTGGGGACCCCTGCTCTGTACTCTATACTTCTATTCTATTCTATTCTATTCTATTCTATTCTATTCTATTCTATATTCTATTCTATTCCTTTTCCATATTCTATTCTATTCTATTCTATTCTATTCTATTCCATTCCATTCCACTCCACTCCATTCTATTCTAATTCTATTCTATTCTATATTCTATTCTATTCCTTTTCCATATTCTATTCTATTCTATTCTATTCTATTCTATTCTATTCTATTCTATTCTATTCCATTCCATTCCATTCCATTCCATTCTATTCCATTCCATTCCATTCCATTCCATTCCATTCCATTCTTGTTTTATTCTTATTCTACTCTATTATATTCCATTCTATTATTGCTTTTCTATTCTATTCTGTTCTACTTTATTCTATTCCATTCCATTCCATTCCATTCCATTCCATTCTATTCTATTCTATTTTCTCCATATCCTATCCTATCCTATCCATTTTAAGAACTGGAATGGGACCTTGGTTTTCTGGCACCTTCAGGTGGAAGAATTGGCACCTGATTCTGGTCGCGCTGCTCACCTGCGGCCTCAAAGGCTCCTGGTAGTTCACTGCTGCCAATGGTGCCGGATCGGTCCGCATCGTATTGCTTGTAGATGCACTGAGGGCGAGAAGGGAAGATGATGAGACGCAGGTCAGCTCCTGGCCAGGAGGCGAGAAGGGTCCTTGGGCCAGCGAGACCCGAGGGCCGGAGCCTGACCGTCCCCCAAGAAAGGAAAGCAAATTCGCTACCTGCCATTTCTTGACGTTGTTCCAGAGATACTTGAATTCCTCAAAGCCCAACTTGCCCGTGGTGTCGCTCTGCAGGGAGCATCGTCAAGGAAAACAGAAGGATGGAGAAGCCCCGGGAGGATTTTCTGGACCAGGAAAATGTTTTCCAGATACAGGGATTCTGCCCCATATCACAGCCACACTGGCTGGGAACGATAAGAATTGTAAACTGGGATCAGGCGTCAGGCTAGAAACCAGGAGATGGCGACTTCTAGTCCCACCTGAGGCATGAAAGCCAACTGGGTGACTTTGGGCCAATCACCAGGAGACGGGGAGTTCTAGTGTTACTTCAGGCATGAAAGCCAGCTAGGTGGCTTTGGGCCTATCCCTCCCTCTCAGCCCAGTCCACCTCACAGGGTTGTTGTTATGGAGCAAACAGGAGGAGGAAGGAGTATTAGATATGTTCACCGCCTCGAGTTATTTATAAAAATAATAAAGGTGGGGTCAAAAAAAACATCTCACCCTGAATGGGTGCGCCAGACCGGGGAAGGCTGAGTCAGACCCACAGAGAGCCAGACCTCCAGAAAATCGAGGGGAAGAGGGAAGGCTTTGGGGGGGGGGGGGTAGGAGAAGGTGGGCCCCTGGGCTCCAGAAGTGAACCAGAATTTGAGTATCAACCACCTTCCGAAGTCAACGGTGGTCTCCCATCAGCTTGGCCACATTCCACCCTTCAGAGGGTTCCTCCTACCTTCGATTTTATTTATTTATTTATTTATTATTTATGTAAGAATTGATAGGGCCACAAAGCTCACCCTCAGTGATTCCAGGTGGTTTATGGAGATTAAACATCTTATATAAAAAAAAAACAGTAAAAAGTAACAATCCCAATTGCATTGTTTTTTTTTGCAGGAAAACAACAAGGGAAAAGAGGAAGAGAAGGAAGTAAAAAAAAGGGAAGGAGAGAGACAGGGGTCTCCCCAACCCACTGGTCCAGCCCCTCTAAGAAGCCCCCTCCCCCAGCACCGGGCCAACCGCAAAAGGTTACGTCCATCACGGCCACCATGGAACGACAGGTGTCAATCCCAAACCCATCAGTCTTCAAATCCGGATCTGAAAAAGAGAGAAAATTGGCTGGGACTTGTGAGCTTTCTCTCTGGGGGAAGAAGAATCGGCTGGAATTAGGGGAGCAACCATGATTTGCCTTCTTGGGGGGCTTGAGTATTTTATTTTCCCTGGTCCTTGCAGCTGTAGATGGGGTGGGGGCTGCCGCAGAAGAGGGTATTTGTAGCTCAGGGTTGAACTGTGGGGTCCTTGGTGGTCTCTGAGCTTGGAAGTTTTCATGCAGACGTTTCATCACCCAGCTAGGTAACATCATCAGTGCTAGAAGGGAGGGGTTTTGCAGGGAGGGGGAGGAGGACTGTGGGGTCCTTGGCACTCTCTGAGCTTGGCAGTTTCTTTGCAGAAACTATTTCATGACCCAACTAGGTAACATTATCAATGCTAGTAGGGAGAGGAGGAGGACAGCTGCGGGGTCCTTGGTGCTCTCTGAGCTTGGTTACTTCCTTGCAGACGTTTCATCACCCAACTAGTTCACCATCAGTGTTACGGGGAGGACGGTGACTGGTGCTCTCTGAGCTTGATGGTTTTCTTGCAACGCTGATGATGTTACCTAGTTTGGTAATGAAACTGCTTTCATTCTCGGAACTGAAACTCCTGATGTAAAACTTGGGAGGGAGGTGGCAAAACAACCCCCCCCCCCGCCCCTGAGGCCCCGGGGGACCCCCTGAAAAGGAGTTTTCTACTTACGTCTCGTCACTACTTTGTTCATGATGTTCATCAGCTCCGTGGCGCTGACTTCCATGTCCTGCAAAACGAGAAGGCTGGCTTAGAAGGAGCAGGATCTTCTGAAAAGGAGGGGTCGGAATAGGGGATCGTGACCACCATCTTGCCTTTTTTGACCTTTTCCACAGCATGCCCTGATCAGGAGGACAAGGGGCTTTTTTTAAAAAAAAAAAAGCCAAGGATCTGAGTTATGGGTTGAGCGACCTAACAAAAGGACATCGGTCTGAGATCTACTATGTGTCAAGCCCGAAATTGACATATGTGTAGCCATTTTATTTAGCCTTATTATATATTCCTTTTCTTTCTTTCTCTTTGCTGGTTATGGGGTGGAGGAAGAAGGGTTTCGGGCTTGCCACATTCCTAAGGTGGGAGGAGTGGATAGAGAAAGTTGTTTAGGCTAGGTGGTTCTTCTTCCCGTGGGAACGAAAGCTGACCCTGCTGAGACCTGGAGGTGGAGATTGATGACGCCAGACTAACTTTGATTTACTTCTATTGGGGAATGTGACTTTTGGGGGCTGTTTCTAACTTCCAATATTACATGGTGTAAATTCTGGGTTGTGTCAGATCCAGAATTACAACAGACTTTGCCGATTTGATGCTTTTACCTAAATAAAAAAAAAAATCATTATGGAAGACAGACTTTGCTCTTTTTTTAAAAAATGGATTTCATCACTTGGAAACCTGACACTATGATTTCAAAGCAGGTAGATCCAAAGAAGGAAGAAAAAAAACCTTAAATTTTAATAAATCCCACTTTCTTTACTTTTTTAGGAAATTTCCAAGAATAGCTTTTTTAGGCAAGCTTTTGAATTGTGACTTTTGCTGTACTTTCCAAATAGTCCTTCACTTATGAGCCACAATGGAGCCCCCAATTTCCATCGCTAAGCCCCCCCCCCTCCCTTATACTCACTTCCCCGGCCAGTTGGGTGAAGAGTCTTCGGAACTGCCGGACTTCCTCGCTCTCGTTGGCTTCGATGTTGGAAAAATGGCTACGAGGGGGCTGGGGAAGAAGAAAGGAGGGGAGAGACCCCCGTTAAAAGAGGAGGGCAGGAAACCCCAGATAAGCTGCAATGGGTCAGGCTCTGAGCTCGGCTGTTTTCCTGTCAACCTCTCATTGCCAATGACATCCGTGCCTGGGGGAGTGAAGGTTGCCCGGTGCTTTAAATATAGTAGCTTGCCCTGTCAGGCTTGGCTGGGAAGGGAGCCTTCTTCCTTGACACCTTGCTGAATAAAAATATATTTTTTTTTCTCTGATTGTTCAACTGGATGTTACTTGCTGGGGTGATAAGAGGCAGTAGAGTCTGCAGCTGCATAGAAGGGACTTCCCTCATTTATTGGGTTCACTGGGAGGGGTTGGGGAAGGGGAAGGGAAGGAGGAGAAGAGAAAAGGAAAGGAAAGGAAGGGAAGGGAAGGGAAGGGAAGGGAAGGGAGAGACTTCCTGTAACAAGTTGGAAATTTTGCTTCCTGGTTTTTGTTTGCAAAAAGCAAACAAATATCATCAATGAAGGAAGGAAGGAAGGAAGGAAGGAAGGAAGGAAGGAAGGAAGGAAGGAAGGAAGGAAGGAAGGAAGGAAGGAAGGAAGGAAGGAAGGAAGGAGCCAAGTCAAATAAAAACAGATCCCTTCAACCAGACAAGAAGAGCTGAAGGGGCTTACCGGAGGCTCTGGGTTATACTGGGCTGCTGCGTCACTGGCAGGCAGGAAGGCATGAAAGATAAAAACAGAATTTCAGAGAACTCTCCCCTCATGGAAGCTTTACACTCCCGGCACACATTTGTACACAAACAGGCTACGCAGAACGGCCACAACCTCCCTTCCCTCAAACAAAGCTGTTCAGGGTATTATTTATTTATATTATTCTTCCCAGAGAGCCCAAATCCGGGACGAGACGCTTCGCCCTGTGGTAACAGGTGTGTCCGCGTGATGGGAAAACACACGATTATACAAGCACACACACACCCCAACGTTACTTTTAAAAACCTGAACAGAGCTCTAGTGTAAAAAAAAAAGGCCAGTAACCAAAGGAATAAGTCAGCACCTCCGTACAGGATGCTCTCCGCTCAATTTGAGGAGGGATGCAGACGGACGATCTGCCTAAAAGGCAGTAGGAAAATTCTTGGAGTTGACTCAGTGGGGCAGGAAAAGGAAGGCGTGAGAACACAGCAACACACAAGCCTGGTCTGTTTCTCCCTCTTGGTTGCCTGTCTGCTGGCAGGCGGACGATCTGCTGGAGTTAAAACCACAGACGGGCTCCCCAGACATGGCCTAAGCTGGTAACTTAACCACGGTTAAGGAAAAGGCTGCAGCAGGAGAGAAAATGCTGGGCAAGACCAGGTGCCAGGAGGCAGGATGGAATATGAAATCCCAGCCCTGTTCCTGGAAAAGTTTGGTCCAGTGGGGAAGGCATCAGGCTAGGTGCTGGGAGTTCTAGTCCCACCTGCATGAAAGCCTGCCTGGATGACTTTGGGCCAATCACCAGAAGACTGTGAGTTCTAGTTCCACCTCAGCCATGAACGCTGATTGGGTGGCTTTGGACCAATCACCAGAAGATTATTAGTTCTAGTTCCACCTCAGCCATGAAAGCTGATTGGGTGGCTTTGGGCCAATCACCAGAAGATGATTAGTTCTAGTTCCACCTCAGCCATGAAAGCTGATTGGGTGGCTTTGGGCCAATCACCAGGCGACAGTGAGTCCTAGTTCTGCCTTAATCATGAACGCTGATTGGGTGGCTTTGGGCCAATCACCAGGTGACAGTGAGTTCTAGTTCCACCTCAACCATGAACGCTGATTGGGTGACTTTGGACCAATCACCAGGTGACAGTGAGTTCTAGTTCCACCTCAACCATGAACGCTGATTGGGTGATATTGGACCAATCACCAGGTGACAGTGAGTCCTAGTTCTGCCTTAATCATGAACGCTGATTGGGTGG